ACCTTTGCGGATGACACCGCCATCCTTGGTTCTCGTAAAGATCCTGCCACACAACCATAGACCTGCATACTCATGTCACATCTCTTTGCGAAGTGGTTCAGGAGTTGACAATAAACATAAAAATGTGAACTTGTCACATTCACCTTTCGGAGAATAACCACCGCTCCCATCTACTTCAATAGTATCCCCCTCTCACCAGCTAATGTAGTTCGCTATTTTGGGTTGGCATAATTGGCAAATGTCTTACATGGAACCTATACACAAGACAAAAGAAAAGAACTAAACACACGATTCAGACTTCTTAAATGATAGCTGGACAAACGATCTAAACTGACTCTACAAAAGAAAAGACTCAATTATATAACTATTTTGAGACCCATATGGGCACTGCACCAAACTTTGGGGGTCAACAAAACATTCCGACCAACAACGCATCCAGTCCCTACAATCCAAAATCCTCCGAACTGTCGTCGATGTCTCTATCCACCAAATGTTACCATTCGCGATGATCTCCTAAGTGACAGTAAAATGACTAACGCTAATATAACTAATGAGTATATTTTATTTTGAGTTTTAAAATGTTTTCAAATTTACGTGAGTGCAACAATTGGCACAGGCAAAAAAGTCCAATTAACATAGGAGACAGATTTTCGGATGTTTCCGTGTCAGTTGTGGGAGTAATCTTTCTCACTTAAATATCTCAAAACGATTCTTTCCAGAAAGATCGAAAAATCATAGTCGTAAAACAATGAAACAAATGTAAAAATACTTGAAAAACATTAATAGCCATTTATATAATGTGGGAAGTATAAGGGACGACAAACAGCAGAGGCCATCGCCGGCCCTCTGCATGTTTGTACTTCTTGTCCTGGTCTTTCAAGCATATTTTTTTTAACATACCGTACATATATGCATAATCACATTCACAACATAATGGAAGTCTGGTCACATTCAGGCCCCGTCGATATTCCTCGGATTGGGATTGAACCATCCACTCTTGCTAATAAATAACTTTTCCTCTCCAGGCATCCAGATTACTCGATATTCGTCAGGGCGGGGTTAAACAACATCTTCCTTTCACGGTAATAAATTACATTCGTTACCTAGAAGTCTGATCACGTACACTCTTCCAGTGTGCGATATTCCTCCAGGAAGAGTCATTTATTATAAGGAAAAAAGTCTTACATTACTGTAAAGGCGGGTTCATTATAAAAAATGTTAATAAATGTGTACCCTTGGACAATTTGTATATTGAAAATTTCATAGTGGTTTGTACGGTTATAGTTAATAATTAATATCTCTGTACATTTTTTTAAGCGTCAGGTTTATCCGCAGTTGTGCTTTAATACGTCTGCCATCGTTTAAGTTTTTTTTTTTTTTTTTGGCTTCGTTATAGAGTAATTTCATGCTTGTCTGTGTTGATTCTTGTCACTGGTGATGTTAAGGAGACTTGATTGGAAAGTCAGAGGATACCTCTATGATCTATTGTTCTTCGGAATTTAATAGTCACATCAAAAGGTCATGAACTTCGAATCCAATTCCGCTAAAATATAGATTAGATTGGTTAATTTGTAACTTTTTGTCAAGTTTAGGACATAAGATAGTGTGGATAGAAAGAAGAGAAATGAGCGATTTATTAAACTGTAATATAAATTGAATAATAAAAAGAAGGTCAACATTCAACTTGGTTTTTTCTTAATAAGTTGGTATTTTATTATGCCTGTGTGGACTTATAATGAGGATATTCAAGTTTGACTGCCGTCACCGGTGATGAACCTGTTCCGTCCGGCCTAATCTTCCTTTCATCCCACATCGATCCGACCTGCACGCCCCGGGGACTCGAGCGGAAAAAGAAGAGTGTAAAGGTAGTTGTTCCGATCCTTTGAAGATAAGAGATTCTGATTTTACCCATAGGGGAACAGGGTTTTCTCCTCTCTTAACGATCCTATATGCAAATTCAGTTGAGAACCTGTCTGAGGTTGATTTAAGGATAAAGCTTTCGTAAGATATTCTATGCGAAAACATTGGAAAAAATTCATTGCAATATTACTTTTCAATTGTATTTGTTTAAATATTCTATCTGGTAAAATTGAAAATAAAATAAAGTTACGATATAATAAAGTTTTGTGTATGTTCGCATACTTTAATGGCAATAATTAATAAAAATATAATGAGATCGGAAGATATTGAGGGGAGTACAAGTTAGTTTCAAAGGGTTTATAAGATAGGGCGTTATTTTAAATCGCATCAGGTTCTAACCTAAGTACCTTCATGTTAAAGCATCATCATTAGGTCTTTTCAGTACGTCTCATTTTGTACGACATATCTTAACTTTTGTGCCGACGAAATGCAATGCAAATGCTGTCAGATAAAATGAGAAAAGTAGTAGCTAGCGATGGAGAATACTTTGACTAACCAATATTGAACCTAATTCAATGCCATCCTACATACTCACTTTATTCTCTCATGTAAGGAAGAACTTCATAGTAATTTATTTTCTAAAGTTCACAAACTTCCCAACCACATATCCTCCTACAACAACAACAACAAAAACTAACAAATATAAAGTTAAACAGAAGAAGACCAAAAAAGAATGGAAGAAAAAAGATATATTGGCTTGTAAAATAATTTTTTCGCTTTTTCTATAATTCCATTACCATTTGTATTTTGAAGAAATTTTTATGTAGTTATTATTGTTTACACCCTAAAAAGGATTAGTTACGATGTTTTCATTTGTTAGTTTCATAAGAAATCTCGTATTTTTAAAAGGTGTTTTGTTACTTTAAAATGGAGGAACCTTTTAACAGCTCAAATCCTTAGATCGTCCCAAAAATCAATTAACGAATATTTATCATGTTGCCCTAAGAATTACTCGTTTTCCATTACTAGGAAGTTTTCCATTATAAATATCATCCCAATGTCCTATAAACTTCGTCATCTACCCGATCCACCTATCCTGGGAAAAATGCATGAGAAGTTCCTCGTGAATAGAATCTTTCACACAGTAGAAGAATACAACATTAGCCTATCTCACCAGTTTGGCTTCAGCAAAAACCACTCCATAATCCAGCAATGCCACCGTGTTGTAGTTTTAATTTCTTCCTCCCTTGAGCTGAAACTCGGGTGCTTTCTTGGTGTGACTCAAGCCTAGCCATCCAGGTTTGCTGTGGAAGCTTAAGAGTATTCGTCCCTTCACCTACATCCTTATCTTCCGTTCCTACCTGACTGACCGCTTCTTTCAAGTCAGCCAGGGAAACATCCGTCTCTGACTAATATTCTGGGCGGAGTCCCACGGGTAGAATCCTGTTTTCACGTACACCGCTGATCATCCCGACATACACAACTACACTTTCACAGATGATACTGTTATCCTGTCTTCTAATAAGGTCCGTCCTTTCATATCGCTCCCTACCTTATCCACCTTGGCTGAAAATGTGGCGAATAAAAATAAATCCTGAAAAAGCCAACGCATAACTTTTACTCGTGCAATAATAGCATCACTATACCTACATCATATTTCCCTTCATGTAAACAACGTCCGCTACCGTGGGGTGTACGTCGACAAAAGGAATCCACATGGGTGATCATATTCAGATTTCCCAATCCAAAATCCTCCGAAAAATAGTAAACTACTACTCGTTTCTATGTATCCAATTACACAATCCATCCATAACGTTTCTTTTGTGAAAGATAATAAAATCCCGGTACACAAAATTCCACAAATCCCTTTCAGTACACCCCAACCCCTAATTCCTAACCTCAACATCCCTTACTATTCCCAATAATCCTCCCCAGGAGATTAAAACGGCAGTGGCCTCATGACTAGTTGGGCAGGGATGGGTGTCCCTACTAGGGGTCACCCTAATTGATTTTTCGTATTCTCGTGGTAGATTGTTAATTTTTTTCACTTAAATTACCAGATTTCATTTTATTATTTTTGTATTTTTACATTCGTACACATTTATATGCAAATAATGTTGTAAAGGAAAAGTGGAGTGAAATTTTTTCACCGCATAGGGGAAAAAACCGCAGCTCAAAATGAGAGGAAAATTTGCAAAAGCATGGATCTGTGACACAATCAGCTAAATATGTAGTTGGAATCTTTATTTTCAAAACGCAAATAAAAATATCTTATGGTTAATGTACTAAAATGTAAAGAAAAATTCAGAAAGCAGGTGCATTTCAAATATAATATTTTAGACATTTCATTTTAATATATATGTTGGTTTAGTGATTTTCACCAAGAAACGTTGAAAAGCTGTTAAAAATTGTTATTTTCAATTTTTAGTATAAAAAGAATTAATTTTCTGTTTTACACTGTTACAAGCTTTTATAGTCAGGAATTAAATAACGATCTTTAAAAAAAATAAACTAAATGCGTAACATCTTTCTGTTTACAACACAAATGAAAATGTGTTTAACTTAATATGAAAAGCTGCAAGAATTGTTATATTTAATTGAGTTTTCTGACTAAGAATGTAGTTTCTGTTTTACTTTGTTTCTAGCCCTTAAAATTAAAAAAGAAAGAATGGGTCTGTTAAAAAATAGCCTAAATGCTTGGCACTTTTGTTTTTAAAGCACAAATGAAAATGTCGGGTATAATTCAAACATAATAATTTAGACATTGTATTTTAGTATTTTTATTTGATGGTTCACACGAAAAAATGTTGAACAGTTGCAAAAATTGTTACCTTTATTTTTAGCGTAGAGAAAAATATTAAAGTTGGAATAAGAATGCATTCTGTTTTATTTTAATTAAGACAGAGGACACGTTGGGTCTAGAAAAATCTGTTTTAAGAATATATCCTTGATTTTATTTAAATATTTTTGTTGCATGTTAATCGTAAATAAAATTGAACAATAAATTTTTTCATAGGAAAATATATCACTGCGAATGATTTTTTTCGATCCAAGCTCTTACAATCGGATATTAAGGGAGGGATGTGAGAAAACAAGTTTGTCTAAAAATATTGTTAGTGTATAAATGAAATGAGCGTTACCTGCGACTTTCATGTGTACAAGGTTGTGAATATCATGTTCACTTGGCCGAGGGACGGTCGAGACTGCCACTCTGACTGCTAGTACGGCCGCTCCACCTCCCGCGATCTTCCTTTCTCCTTCGCGCTTTCCATCTCTTACTCCACGCTCCACGTTTTCCAGTCTAAAAATACACACGGCGACCACGGCTTACCTATTTTTAGAAACAGGTTGCTCCGCTTTAGGATAAATTGCTTTTTTATAGGGCGTATCACGGCATTATAAATAATCCTTGTTTTCGATACCACGGCCAGTCTGAATAATATTAAGATGCCAATGACGAAATTTGTCTTATTTCCGTCTTTCCTAGTCATAGTTTGGCGTCCCTCCACACGTCAGACCTCTGAGTTTCTTGATTGTACGATTCGACAGCGGAGGATATCTTGGTTCAGGCTGTTCGTTATTCTTTCAACATAATCTCTCTTGTCACATTTTACCAAATAGCTTCGAAAAGCTATGGTCTACACAAAAAACTTTAAGAACAAATGGTTAATGCTTAAACTTAAGAACCCGTCATAGCTCGCCAATGATATTCATGTTATCCTTACGTAATGTGAAAATTAAAATTTAGTGCTCCGTGAAACAGGACACTATTAACGTCAAAACAGCTGAAGAGGACGAGCGGGCAGCCCAAAAATCGATACATATATTGATATACAGGGTGTCCCAGTTCCTTCTGACGAAACTCAGGGAATCGATTCTACTCTTCGTTTGGAGCAAAAAGTGCTCAGGAGAAAATTTTCGGAAAGTTCTCTATTTTGAAGATATTCGTCAATTTAGGTTTTTTCAACTTTTCACTACCTTACCACATAAAAACGATTACAACTTCCAAAATGTTGGGACTACAACAAATCCAATTACACCATTTGAAAGAACGCTAAATTTGGGGGGGGGTAGAAATAAATCAATTAGAACTCGCTTTGTAAAATAAAAATGACACATCTGTAATCGCATAAAAACCATTCCAGAAAGCTTCATACAATAAAATGCAATGGTTCTTCTTGTAGCAAGCACCTAACAACAAAGGAGAAACTTTTCAGAGGAAATGATCAAAGTGTTTTCCCTCTTCTCGAATGCATAACTGACTTTCTGAATTTCTACCCCCCCCCTTCAAATTTAACTTTGCTCACGTTTTCGAACATTCAATTGTTATTTTTCAAACGTACTAGAACGTTATTTAAAAACCTGAATATATCAACGTAAGGCAGATGGCGACGAGAATCCAAACCGATTACACGACATTTGAAAAATGGCAAAAGGAGGGAAAACTCATAAGGTGGGGTTGAGATGGGGAGTTGATGTCCGAGTGGATCGAGGTCACGATAGCTCAGGTGGTAGAGCAGCGGCGTATCAAGCCGAAGGTCGTGTGTTCGAATCCCTCTCGTGCCATTGACTTTTTTTCATCTCAACTAAAAACCTTAATTAATTGTAATGTATTAATTGGTCAAGCGGACCACGAAATTAGTGAATTTAATATTGGTTACTATCTCACTTAATTTCGTACAGGACACGGACTTTATATTGATGTATACATGATGGTATTTCGTCTGATAAGAGAAGATTTTTTTTGTTTATTTTGTGAGTGAAAACTCTTGACTTTTAGTACAGAATTATTTAATAGCATTCCAGTATCATAAATAAGTATGCGCAATTGTAGAAAACCAGGACAAGCACACTAAAGAAGACTAAATCCGGTGACAGCGTCTGACAGACTAACCAAACTATGACGGGGGGCGGACGGATGTTCGGTGACAACAAAATTACTAGCTCATCGTCCCACAGTCACACGAAAAAATCTCACAATTAATAAAAAACCAATCACACAACGTCGTTCACTCTTAGCATATTTTGAAAAATTGTTTTGCTATATTAGTTGCTATATATGGAACTACTCTAAACAGAGAAAAAGGAAGAGAGATCACATGACCATGACCAATATCTTCTTTAATCTCGATATAATTGATACCAGCCTTTAATATTATAATTTTGTAATAAAATAATCAGGGATAAGACCAATTTGAAAGAAAATAAAAACAAACCTAGTTTCCAGGACTTTGATTAACTATTAGTTTCAGTACTGTAAGTAGATGTACATATTTGTCAACTTCCTGAATTGTAATTAATAGTTGCAAAGTCGTCGGTTCAATGGGATTATATTCCAGGACAGAGATTCCCGAAAACGTTCTAAAAGGTTCCCCTAGATAATCTGTAATTTTTAAACAATTATAGTGTAACAATAAAATAATTTGCCTTTATTTATGCAGAATTTTTCTATAGCATCTGTTGATTAAAATGGTCACAAATACTGTAATGGTAATTTTATACAGATGGATACAGTTCGCTTAACAGACGACTCTCATTACAGCTTTTCCTGTCAAATTAACCCAATTTAATTTCGAATTTAGCCTCTTTCTTCAATTTCAAATTAGCCCTTTTTAACTTTAAACTAACGCTTTTAAACTTTAAATAACCCTTTTCATCTTTAAATTAACTATTTTACCTTTAATTTAACCCGTTTTAATTTTAAATTAACCCCTTTTTACTTTAACTTTAAATTAACCCTCGTTAAAGCATTAAAACAACTTAGTAGATAGTATGAAATCAAAGCAAGTAGGTAGTGTAAACTTCCTGTAAAATATTTGTGGTTTTTAAAATATATAATAATTGGGCTTTTAAAAACCATATGAAAATTAATTACAATTTACAAAAATGATATAAAATTAAATTAAAAAGCAAAAGATTTTTCTTTTATAGTTTTTACCACTTCAAATTAACCCTTTTTCAACACAAATTAACCTTTTTTTAATCTCAAATTAACCATTTTTACCTACAAATTAACCCTTGTTAAATTCAAATTGACCATTTTTACCTTCAAATTTTTATTTTTAAATTTTATTTTATATAATTTTTAATTTTAATTTTAATTAATTGTCATAGTTTTTAAGAGCACTATTATTTTGTATGGTAAAAATTGTTGATAACAATCACAAAAAATTAACAGTATTTAAAAAATCTCACATTAAAAGAAAACTTTTTTTTCTATGTTTAATTTTATATCATTTTCAATTCTCATTTGGTTTTCTGAGAGACCAATTATTTTATTTTATTGTTCAAATGCAGGAATTTGATTTTTGCTTATACCATCTAGGTTTTGATGTTTTAAGGAAAAGCTCAATTTAAAATTAAAATTACTAATTTGAAGTTAAACATGTTTAATTGAAATTAAAGAGTGTTAATTTGAAGGTAAAGAAGAATAAATTTGAAGTTTTAAAGGGTACTTTGATGGGAAAAAATAAGTATAAGTAAGAATATAATAAGGAAAAATAAGTATTAACACTGTAGCATTAAGACATTACCATTTCATTTTAAAAGGCTTACTATCTCGTATATTAACCGTCTTGGAAAAAGGCCAACAATCGAATTTATAATGAGTGAGGGTTGACACCGGTTCCTAAAATAAACCAGTACTTTTCGTCTGTTACGCGAACCGACATTCCATTGTAAACGAAAAAGCCACATAGATATGCGTTTTTTTATTCCACCCGTGACATTTGGCAAAGATAAAAGTTGCCCTAAATAAAAGAGAAAGAAAAGGGGAGAATCCGTATATTTACAGTCACAAAGGCGCATAGGCTGAGCTAGGTTTATCATACAAGAAGGCGAATGTTAAACCTACAAAAATGTTTTATATTATTAAACATACTATGTTTAAGTGTTTAAATATTTTATTGGCCATTTATTTAGAGTTATATTGTAATTAATAATTACAGTGCTCATTTCTACACTTTTCAACACAGGCCGATAAATTATTATTACTTATTACACTGAATACTATGCATATTTCAATAAAATATCATGTAAATTGTTGTCAATTAGGTAATTCGCCAGGCACAGCACTTTAACAATTTAAAAGTCCATTTTTAAATAAGAAAATCATTTCTTTTTCCAAATGATTTGCCTATATGAAAATACATAGTTTGACTAAACTGAGAAGAGGATAATGACCATGACCAAAATCCTTTTTTCAGTTAAATCTGATCTGGCTACAAATGATATTAATCTGTTATATCATCAAGTTTACTGTCAATTTGAAAGGAAATAAAAACACTCAGTTCCTTTATCAAGCTTTTGAAGAATATATCCCCTTCATCAGTACTTTGATATAGAAAAGACGGGTTGTAGATCTTGTTATTAATAGTTTCATGTCCTCAGTTCAATGGGATTGTATTCCAGAACAGAAGCGGATAAGTTCATTAAAGGACCAAGTAACGACAAAACTAGAAAACGTAGAGACTAGGTTTGGTGTACGATTACTGATTGGACACTACATACTCCAAAGCATTTGTACTCGAAGCAGCAAAACCAATCCTGGGCAGTTATTACCAGTAAGAAGAAGAAAAACTGTAGAAAATGTCTCTGTTCAAATATTGAGGGACCACAAAATTGCCCTTGTTTGGATACCAAGGTAGTGAGCGGGGGTTAATGATATTACTCAAATTTACTATTGGTCGAGTATTTTCAATCAGGACACTTATCAGCCCTGAACGCTTTTGCTAAAAACAAAGATCCATCACACAAGTGTTATAAATAAGTCCTTGGTTGCCACAAAGTTCATTAAAGGACCATCGCAGAAATTAATGCCAAAAATGGTAAATCTATTTCGTATTACGACTAGGGATGATAGTAGGACTGCTGATTAAAATCCCTTTGATAAAACAAGTTTAAGCTTAACAGCTTTAGATAATAGTAATAATTAGGTAATAAGGTCGTAAAGAGGCTGACTCTTGTTTAACTAACCACCAAATCCTTGATAAAGAGGTGATAAAGTTAGTCATTTAGGAGGTGGAATATTAGCTGTGTATAATTGATACAGTATAGGGGACCTCAGGAATATTAGTATGAATAGGAATACAGAGAGAGACTCGGAAAAACTGGTAAAGAAGGTAGCTGTGAAGTATGAGATAGAAGGTAGTGGGAAGCAAGATCAGCTCGGGTTACAACTTACAACTCGAACAAAACTTTGGCCTACATAAAAAATGCCACAGAACCTGTCCCAACGCAAGAGAATAGAAATAATGTCAACTAAGTCTAAGTAGTTCTGACCTTGCTCTTTCTGACGATTGCCTTTTGCTTATTATAAAGTTTGCTCAATCCAAAATCCAAAAAGTCCCATAACCATGAAAATGATACATAAGCAAGAGTAGTAGTACTTGCCTCTGCATGAAATTAACTGCCGACTACAGAAATATATAAACAAAAACATATGAATATTTACATAATATGTTATCTCATAATACCTTTTAGTACTTTATTAAAATTACTATTTGTATCTACAATTTTTTAAATAATTTGTTGGCAATGACCTCGTGTTCTAGCTAATAATAAATGACAATAATTGGCACTGGCCTACTAAATTACTACATTGAAATTATTAATGGAAAAGTTTATGTAAAACATTTAACATGTCTAATATCCATTTGCCATGTCTAATGTTGTATGCAAGCACCATTTGCTTGCATATAAGATTAGTCAATGCTAAATACAAGTTAATGTATGTTTAATTATTATTGGTTGATGAGGTTTTAGAAAAAATTCTCATCTAATTCAGTTGGACATATCTGAAGTCGTTTTCAAGAAAGGGTAGAAAGACATTTTGAATCACTGGATAAATATAGAAAACTTGAATTGGACGTCTAGACACCACGGTTAGATGATCGGTGTTTTAAGCCCTTACTACTAAAATAGTTTTGAGTTGAAAGTTAATTGATTTGAAAACAGTTCCGAAATCATAGAGATTTGAAGTTAATGTATGATTTGAATTTTTGAAATAAAAACATCTTGTCTAACACCAGTGTATTATAAAAAATAAATCAGTGGCATGTTGTTCCAGGTTGTAAATTTGAGTGGAATTTTGGCTGATTAGTTTGTATTTGATTGATCAATTTATAATAATTTTTAATTGATCAATAATTTTTAATGTCAGAAGGCCGGATTGCTTTAGGCCCAGATGTTGGAACATCCCTGCCTTAGCATGTCGTACATCTTTCCCTTACCCTCTAGGGCTGTGTCCAGGGACCCATTCATCCTGCTACTGTTTTGTTAAGATGACTCCAATTTTGAGTATCTCTCCCAGAGGTCAAACAGAGGGTTCACAGAGGATTTTTTCTTTATAAATTGACTTGCAAACATCATTTGGAATTATTTTCCATTTGAGTGAGAAATCTTTGTTTAAAAAATAAAATAAAAATACACATTTACTGCTTAATCTTGCTTTTATTTACTGGCTGTGCTGGTTTTGATAATCTTGAAATCCTGTCACTTTCAGTGAACATGGTTCTCTTACTAGGCCCAGTTATATGCACGCGTTGATTTCCTTTCACTTTCACCTGTAGCTGAGAATTCGACGAGTTGTTTCCAACTTTGGTCAAATTTGGCGGAGGAGGGAGTACCGTGTTGTTTGTGTTCGATTCGCGTTTCACTACCGCTTCAATCTCTTGAACGAGTGAATTTGTTTTCTCCTATAAAAAAAAAACATACTTTGAACCTTATAACTTACTATTTAAATCAAAATCTGTGTTTAACTAGTTAATTTTTGATTTATTTTTATAAGGTTGTTTACAAACTTAAAACTTAGAATAATTGACAAAACCATCATATATAATAATTTAAAAATTTTATTTCAAATCACAAAGGAGATCACTAATTAAATTTAAACAACAGCCACATAAACACATCTTCATCATACAATAAATCTTCAAACATCGATGAGAATTTCTCTCTTAATCTGAAGCTTTACTATTGCCATATTTTGTATTTATGATTAATTTCTTGTTGAAGTTAATGTCAACATGTCCTGTAAAGAGTGTAAGAATTTTATGTATTTACAAAATAATACAATAAGATTTAAAAATGGATTATAAAAAAATATTTACCTGCAATGATAACCAGATTGGCCAGAATGAGGCAATTTGAGGATAAATGTTCCAATGTAAGTTGGGCATTTGGACACCTTAAACAATTTGTCATTATTTTCTATTTATAATAATTTTAAAATTAATCATCAATTAAAAAATAAAAATTTACCTTAATGACCTTATTGCCAGATAATGTTGTACAGGCAAATCGTATATGTCCTTCAGTCATCATCGCTACAATAGATAAATTATTAAATGAAATCAACGATGCCAAAAACAATTTCTTCATTTCTCACCTTATTGGAAGTTTTAACAATTCCGAAAAAGCTGTAGTTGTCTCGTCCATCTCGTTTGTTCCAGTAATCTCTTGAACTTTGTCGATGTAATTGTCTACGTGATTACACTTTTTATTCCCACAATACATAAATATCGACTTAGACAATTCCTAGAGGATAAAGGACTTATGATAATTCAAAAAATAAATAATATTCCTTTGCACCTAACATGGACCCTATGGCACATCGCATGGAAATGATCTTTAAAACCCTATAGTTTTTTTTTCTACAATTAAATAAACAATTCTTACTTAAATAATTAATTTTACTATCATGCAATATATAATTATTGTTTTTTCCTTTCAATTATTAAAGCAATCCTAACCTAATCTAAACTGATCATGAAGGAATAGCATTTTTTATAACTTTGAGAATAACACATTCAGCCAAGGTAGAAGGTATTAATTGTTAATTTTCCATTATTTCAAAAAATTATAGTTTTAATTAAAGTTTCATTTTCCGTTTCGATCAAGGTCTCAAAACTATCGTTTCACAATGGCTACAAACTGGAACACTCATACTCCAGTGAAAGAAATATTAAATGTTTTATAGTTTCCAATTCATCAGATCATAAAGTTGATTTGAGTTATAGAGGAGAGAATTTTTTTCTGCTGTCGCCAATAACCAGTCTGTAGGGCGTAATTCGGAAAATATTTTGTAAAACGAGCCTGTTTTATTTTTGCCACTTTTATGATCATTATTTGATGATCTGGCGTTTGACATCTGCTTGGTATAGGGTTCACCTTGAGATGTTGCCTCTTGGCCAACACTACTATGTTTAGTTTGATTTCAGAATGATGGTTGTACAATTGACTTGGGAGAAAAGCGGTGTACTTGAGATAGTGAACGCATGCTTTCTGATACTATAAATAATTTAAAACATTCCAGTGTAGATAAATATTCCAGGACCCTTCAAACGGGGTACATTTCAGCTGTTTTCAGCATTCAGACAACAGCAACATATAATATTATTATTTTATTTGTTTGTAAAACTTAAGAGAAGAATTAGCTGTTCCATCCAATCTGTAAAAATTAAATGATGCGTGATAATTGGTTGTTCACTTTTGCCATGAAATAAACATTTGCTAAGGATACTCGAAATAATCGTTCAAGTAGAGTAGGAAAAGAGACAAAGTAGGAATATAGCATTTACAATTGGAGAAAGCTTTTTCCATCAATAAATTTCTGTTTGGGATAATTGAACCAGTTTTTTTAAACTCCTGTGGAAAAAAAGTTTTGACCTGATCAAAATGGAAAATGAAAGAGAACTGATTGAGCTTTAAAAAAAAGCCTAATTTAATGACTGTAATAAAGTTCAGAAGGCTACGATGGCTAGGGCATGTTGATGAAATGTTGAAATGATGAAAGAGGCATGTTTTCAAAAAAAAACAATCCAGGGACATCTAGGTGGAAGGCATCTTATAAGAAGGCTGAGGTGGGTCGGTGACGTCGAGGACCGAAGTAAGGAGTCAGAAGAACAATAGCTAATAATAGAGCAGGGCTGCATTCTGTCAGGGAAGTCAAAGGTCTTCATGGCCTGTAGACCTAAGAACAGACTAATTTTGATATTCTAATACTCATAAGAGGTTCTGCAGATTCAGCGGGATTTTGAGAAATATTAAGAATAGGCTATTAGGATTTGTATGCCTGCCTGCAGAATATCAGCTCAAAGTCTAAGACAGATCTAATTGAGGGTTTATAAAATAGTAAGCCCATCGAGATTTATTTCAGATCCACATTTAAAAAAAATCACATCTAGTAAAAATTTGAATACCGAAGATAACCATCAATGAATAATCAATCTTTCAAATTCCAGGCTTACTTTAATATTTGGTCATTCTTCTTTATATAAAAGGGCCGAGATGTAGAATCAGGTATTTTTTAGAAAATTTTAGAATACTCTTGATTTTTAAACTTTGTTAATCTCTTAATGTGTTATTATTTAATTATTAATCTACTAAGACTATAATTTTGTAATCTAGGTTAATATTTAACCTATTAATAGTAAAAAAAATGCTGATGAAGTCAAAGTTTTCTTGATATTCAGTTAAAAACTTAGTTTACTGTTTTACAAATTGAAAGGCATTTCTCAGTTTTATTGAAAATATTTTGTCGAACTTAAAATGTCAATGTAGTCATTGGTTTTGTCGGTATTTTGCATATTACTGCTTCTCCCAGTCGGTGATTTTAAGCAGAATGCTTTATCCCATTTTTTTATTCCCTCTCTATGAGTGATTTGGCCAAGTTAGATTTCTCATAGTGACACGTTATTCTTTTTAGCACGTATATCATTGGTAGATTTTTTCACCAAGATTTGCTTAACTTCTTTCAGACTATCTCCTCTATTTTTCACATTTTGATTTATAATAGTCTCAGTTTTCTTTTTCTCAATTGGCTTGTTTGGTCTCATTGTTAATCTGCCTCTGTTCAGACTGGTAATATTCTTTTTCTTCTTTTCTGCCACCTGGAATAACAGGTGGGTTATCTTTATTTCATTCAGCACAGTTTTTCATAGTCTGATATCTAATTCTTGGCCTTTTAATTTTTAGTTCATTATGTTAATAGGTGCGCTAATAGTCTCAAAATTCAGGATGCCCAATTGATGGTCAATAATCCAATTCTTTGAAAATAAAATCAACCAAAAACCAACATTTTCTACTGGAATCTTAAAACATTGTCCAACTGATGCTTGTGAATGACTTTTGTGATAACGAAGAATAAGAAGATTTTAAGACAATAAAAATGACCCTAATATAATGCTTACAATTAAACTATATTTTAATATAATATAAAGCTAAAGTTATTAAAATATTCTTACTCTGAGTTCTTCCTGTTTTATGAGAAGTTCCCGTTTCATTTTGGATTCGATGCAAGTTGGATTCAACACTCCAGTCTCTGAAATCTGTGTGTCTAAAAATTTCACCGACTTCTTTGGCTTTCCGACATTTTTTTTACGTGTAGTAATACAAGAATTGGATTGGGTAGGGCTTTCGATTTGCCTTTTCACGGCCTCTATTTGTTTAGAAACATCGGTTTTTAGATTATCTTTCCAGTCGAATGTATCCTTTACTTTGTCCATGCTTTCCGGAAGTTCCACAACTTCCTCTTTCTCAGCTGGCCAAGTAATGTTTTTTTTATTGTCGCCAGCACTATTCCATGATTTTTTAAACAACTCTTCTTCCTCGAGCTGAAGAATAATGATAATTACATTTTTATCAATACATAAGATTTTTTAAATAATCACCACAATATTTTACCTGTTTCTTTGCTTCTGCAATAATATTTGGAACTGTACTGTAAGGATCGACTGTAGAAGGTGTTATATTTTTAGTAACATCGGTAATTTCACTGGTGAACTGTTTGAAAGAAATTTCCTTGTCCTGCCCTAAATTATTAATGGTATCACCGCTGGGTGGCCTAAACTGTGCTTTTGACAATATTGTATACATCTGTCAAAATATATGATAAATGTAATTGATAATCTATCATTATTTTATATAAGATTTGAGTACCTGTCTATGCAGATTAATTAACTCTTGTTCTGCCTGTTCAATCCTCTTTCCCCATTGTTTAGTCACAGTCTCAGTTGATTTTAGGTTAGACTCGACTGCCTCTAATCTCTCTTCAAACTTATCTATATTGCCTATGAAACATTACTCAATCTTATAGTTTACAATAATAGCCTATTTTGTTACACATTGATTCTATTTTAGAAATATACTTACATTGACATGAATTTTCCAGATCTTTCATTTCCGACAACACCGGTTGATAGGGATTTGCTTCATTTATCAAATTTGCATTTGATATCGTTGATTGTGTGCTTGCAGAGTGGCTTATTTCAACAAGCCCTGCATATTCATTCTTGTACGAATCAATAATGACGATATTCTGTTTTCCATTGTCAGAAAGTGAGACTTTTTCCTCTTCCTTCGGATTTGAGCAAGTATAGTCAAATATATTTGAAGCACAGGAATCAAGAGTTTCCATCAATTTGGAAGTCTCCAACTCTGTAGAGTCGACTCTGAACGACAGTTCTGGAATATCGGGTTTAGATTGTTCTAATTCTACTTGATAATCTATTGTATTCTCGTTTCTGAAATGCTCATTGGGTTGGACAATAATAAATTCAGATACAGTTGCCAACGAAGGATGTAAAATATCTTCTCGATCGTATGCAAGACTTGTCATTATAACATCATCTATTCCCATTTCTTCCTCGTTACTTGGTTGACACTCAATAGAAGGCATTGCACTGATCTTCTTTGATTTTCGAAACCGAGAGAATACATAAGTAGCAATAAATGCAATCCAGAAGAATACTATTAAGCCCGGGATGCAATCATCATCATATTCTTCTGGAGGTGGCATTTCAATCTTGATTTCAGGTTGCAACTTCTTTCGCACATCTACTATTACAAATGACAATTTTAAATAGGATCTAAGATAAACTTAAAAATATTGCTTACTTACCTAATTCAGTCTGAGGCTTTACACTTTTTTGCGATATAAAATTTATCGTGTCATAGGTGAAAATTGATATGAATGTCAAAACCAAAATTTTAATTATTGTATACATTTTTGGTGTGAAAAACCAAATTGTTAATTTTGAAAGGCCAAGAAGAAATTTGCAATAATTTTGTCTTTAAATTTTGAGCATCATATGAAATTTTCCCAGGTGTCAAACAATTACATTACATATGTTGCATTACATTTGTTTATATTGGGAACAATTGATTTTGAAAATATCACTATAAATTAATTTGAATAGGTGGTAAAATATGTCAGAATGTAATTTTTGATTTATTATATTGGGAAACTGATTTTGTGTGATTTTTCTAGTTGTTAAAAGATTCTGAAAATAAAAAATATTTTAAAAACTTGCCATCGGTACAAACAAATAATATGCTTATCCATATTTTATAAGATGAATATTAGCTACTCAAAGTAATTCCTATTTAGCAGGAGGGCTTAACATCCAACTGCCCATTGGGTGACGTGAACAAGGATCAGGAAGTCAGCCTCTTTACGACCTTGCCTTTGTGACCAATATTGGTTCATTATTATCTAGAGCTCTTTTTTAGGAAAAAAATTTTCTGCCGGATCCCAAAGCTTTGTTTAGGGTGTTGTGTGTGTATCCATCCGTCAAGCCTTGTTTTTTCTTCTACTAGGAGTAGGCCTTCGCACCATCAGAAGACATGTTACACTGATTCTTCTTTTTTTATGGCAATATCTGAATGGGATTGTTTCTACTGCCCTAAATCTATACATACATGTTTTCAGAGTTTGCAGAGTCCCATCAGCAGTCTAGTTTTAACACATCCATTTAATAGTTTTGCTGCTATGGTCCTTTGATGAGCTATTTTTCATGCCTTTGTTCTGGGATGCGTTCCAGTTGAACCAAGGACATCTTTTTAACTCATTGTCTGAATGAACTATTTTTGAAAGGTATGCCACAAAATGGTTCATGGCTGATAGGTGCCCTCATCAAAATTTCTTTGCTCAACTTGTCAGCCCCTCAGCCTTTTATACCACATTACTCCAAGATTTTGTTGTTGTCCCCAACATCTGGCAAAGCCTTAATGCATTCATTTCTGGGCATTACTACCAATTAGTCACCTTTGGTACCACCACTGTAAAGCAAATTATAAAAAATCGTAAAATTTATGAAAATTTAAGAAACACAATCTGCACTATGAACTTGCTTAAATTGTGAATAACAACACAAATTTAATAACGCAGACAGGAAATAGTGCTTGGGGCCTTTATCTTTTATATTATATCCTTATACTTTATCTTATTCCTTTATCTTTTATCTGCTTTGATTGACACCTTTGAAACTTAAAAACAGAAAACAGATTAACAATGAATTTATTCTACATTTAGCCTCGTTAGAGAGATTTTGTTTAACGTTTCTACTATTTCAAGTCACCATTATATTTAACGTCTTTCAAACGTGACACTATTTACAGACCTTTTGCATAATAGATTTTGCCATTAACGATAAGTTTCATAATTTCAATTTGTATTTATATGTACATACAGAGTTAAGTCAATCCACCAGCAACAACAGTTTTTGTAATTTACAATGGATTACCGGCAAGCCTCAAGAATCACCCACCCCGGGTGTTGGCAGTCTAGAGCCACATTTCGGTTTTATCCGACCATCCACTGAAGTTGGGCTCTGGGTCAATTTAGCACCCAACACATGCTAGTCTAAACACATTCACACTTATTCATTCTTAAATATATTCTTTCTTATTTACATCTCATTAACACAATTGGAGGTGGAGTACTTGATATTACTCCATCATCCTTTACTCCTATTATATATAACTAACCTAATTAAGGATTGACACAATATTCTGCTATTGGCCCTCTCACATTGCACATTCATGCTAACAAATACATTCACTCAAACTAAACAACTAGTATTAATATAAAAGAAAATAGCCCTGTTTTCTCCAAGAATCGGGTGGATTTGTACACAGTTTACAACAAGTGGCACCTTTAAATTAAGTGGGACACACACCTTTCTCTACATGCCACGGGCTTTTAATCAAACCTCACAAGGCCTAACTTTATGATTCTTCCTATAACTAGAGCTTCTCTGCTGATTTGGCCCACTGATGCTTCTACTTTCTTTTAATCGTTTTTTATTGCATTTTTAACATCAAAGGGCCATATCACAATGGTTAAGTTTGGAGGTTCAGATGTCCTGGCCATTGCCTCGTTGACCACCTTTTTGTTAACCTAGAGCTATGTATCCAAGTATCCAGAAAGCAATCACCATTTTTGACATTCCAGTTAATGGTATCTCTCTGACAAGAGCACAACGAGAGGGTTGACTTAGGGAGACTGTTCAGAGAATTTGTCTAATTTGTTGTTTATGCTGCATTGTTATTATTATTTGCCTGGATAAAAAACATGTTTATTTTGTAGAATTAAAATATAATACATTCGACAAGTTATTTATCACTCTTTATTTGTGTTTAATCCATTGTTTTTTGTTTTTGTTTTTTTAACGAGGTCATAATACTTGATTGTCTGCTCGTCATAAATAAGCCTGTAATGAAAAACAGCATTATTTTAAATATTTTGGTTTAAAAAAATTATAGCTAGTGTAAGACAATAACAATGCTTGCATGCAATATTATTAAACTGCTATGCATTATTATTAAACTTCTGACAAATCTCTAGTTTTTTTAAAATTTATTTTTTTGATGCATAACATTATTTTTCTCCTATTTGGTTAATATTTAACTTTTATATTTACCTCTCTCTACAATGTTTTTTAACAGAAACATTTTACTTGATCATCATTATATATGAACAGAAACATCATCTTAAATATTATAGTAAAGAGAGATTTTCCATAAAATTGATAAATGTTTTAACTCAATAATGGTCTCCGTTTAGTCATAAACTTTCTTTAAACTTTCTCTGCTGTTATATATTTTTTAATCATTGATCATACAAAAGAGATTCAATATTTGTTGCACATAACATCTAAATATTATTCTTTTTAAGATGGTTGACATTCAGTTGTATCCTAATAAAAGTTGTTTTATTTTCTTCAACTTATATATCCAGGAACAGAATAAGGCAAATTTGATATTATATCATTTTATTTCTTCAATTTTGATTATATGTTACTGGAAAGGGTTTACAGTTTATAATGAGAGAAGGGCGGAAACTTGGAACGACTGGATGTTGAAATAGGGACGGCGACCTGTTCAAAGGTCTATTTTCAGCGTGCCTTTCATAAATGTTTTGCATAGATTCTGATTGCGAGCGTATCTTGTTGAGAGCCTGTTTCAATCGTTTAATACTGATGGTACACAAAATGGGCTTTTCTTCCTTTTTATGGGAATTCAAAGATCTGTTTGTGTTGTGTCTGTTTTGCAACTGTTTTCTCCTTGCCTCTTCTAAATTAAGTATCTGATGAAGTAGAGTTTTTAAGTTTCCTTTGGGTTCATTAATTTTTATGTCTCTGGCGGTTTGCTTTAATGTAACTTCTCTACACACCCTCTCTGTTAAATTTTCCATTACTTCAGTTACAATTATTTTCCTTTTGTTTGCAATAACCTTAAAAAAATGTATTGTAATCAATAATTTGTGTATCAAAACCTAGGACATAAATATGTGCACCAATATCTTTTAAAATTTACATAAATAAAGAGACCATTATTAATATTAATGATATTTTTAAAATACTTGAACACTATTTTATTATAGGTTAGTTATGTTAAATTTATGTTAGGTCAAAAATATTTATTACCTCATCAACAGCAGCTTTAACACTATTTTCAATACTAGCTATTTTCTCCAGTAAGATGCCAAGATTTTTGTTGATCGGTTCCATGCTAGCTTCAATTTTATCAATTCTCTCCTCCAAATTCTTGCAAACTTTTGGAAAAATAAATGTCAAAATTATTATTGAAGGGCTCGATTATTTATAACTTATTTGTACCTCTTTTCACGTTTAGCTTGCAACCATGTCTGCAGTTAACGTCGCCATTTCCAATGCAACGATGGCCAAAAAGGAAGGTCACTTTTCCTCTTGACAACTTTATAAGAAGCCATGTAATTACAGGAACAAGAATTATTCCTACACCAATGGCAATTATTTGACGAAGTTCTTGTCCATCCATTTCTGATTTTCCTTGGGCTGATGAAAGCCCAACTGAAAATAGCATATTTAGCTGTATTTTTTACATATTTACATACAACACTAAAGAGTTTTTTTAATGTATTGATGAAGAGTCTCAGTAGGCTTAAAATGTATTTGCAACAAAACAAATTGAAAAAATAAGGCTAATTATTTTAAATTAACTCATAGACTAATTCATAAAAAACATGTGAATGAAATATAATATGCTAATTAGTTTCAATTTCTTAATAATGAAAATTGAGACAGAACTTTTTACAAACTTGAAAATATGGTTATTTCTCAACAGCATTGGTCCAGATGAAATCCCCCATATTTAAACTGCAAACAAGGATCTTAAGTTCAACAATTTTTTTAACCAACCATTTTTATAGTTTTCTAATGTATCTAATCTATCTACCATCTCTTGTGTATCACACGAACTCTCACAATTTTTGACAGAATTAATATAAGATGAAGAAATAGTATAAGTTGCAATTCACAAGAGCAAGCAGGCTATTAATAGTGACTACAAAAAAATTCGCCCCATAGTGGAACCACAATTGAGTATTTTGGGATCAGAAATCTCACAAATTGTATCCTCTTTCAGAACACTCTAAACATTCATGCCAATAAATACAATCGCTCTCGAAACTTGCTAGAGAAACAAAATAATCAGTACTTCATACAATAAAACAAACGTTTCCTCTCAAGAATCAGAACATGGGACCCAGAGACTCAAGTTCTCATAATTCTCGTAATTATCATATCAGATGGCATCCCTGCACACTTTATACACAGAACCAAGTATTTGCTGCCAATGAATGACACTCTTTAATTAAGTGAGACATATTGAGCGACTCTTCATGACAGTCTTTGGCCCAAAAGTAATGTCAACCACATATGGCCAACTCTGAGTCAGGTTAGGATGATACAGTGTAGAATCTCTGGGGGTTTTAAGTCCTTCGATACGAGAGGCATTACTTTACTTACTTACTTTTAACCAGTCATCAAGTGTTTATAAAAATTTGCTGTTTTTCAAATTTTAGCATTATTTGTGTTTACTAAAAGCTTTTTCGGTTCAATACGGGTTGATAATTACAAAAAATCTTCAAACTAAAGCAAGGATTTGAATGATACTTTTAAGCTTAAAATATAAAAAATCGTTAAAGTGCATTGTCGGGTTCTAGAGAGTTCTTCAGAGTACCAAGCCCTCTTTGTACTTTATTTGTATATCTATCTAAACACTCACTTTCAAATATTCTAATACTCACAATTATCGAAAACATCAACATCACACACCTCCGATTCATTCATTTCGGCCATTTAATTTCCAAACTTTTTCTGTGAGATTGAAAAGATGCCCGATTTTAACCCACTACGGAAAACTAAATTTCAAATTCGAACCATTCTCCTTTTAATTACTACTATCGATCGAAGATTAAAATTTATAAACACTCATTAAATCTACCCATTAACAAAATGATGGCCAAATTACATTACAATATGTCAAAATGAAAATCATACCAGCTTGTTTTTTTGGCTCGGCTTCGACTATAAATGAAATGAACCAATAAACCATCCTGTAAACCATTATGCAACCGACGATTAAATAAAAGCTTGAACATTTAGCCATTTAAATATTTTTACGGGCTACAATTCTACTAACACTGATATTATAGTAACAACAATAATAATAATGGCTGTCTTTATTTTTACAAAATTACAACACATGATGTTTCACACGTGTTTTTTGCAAACTACTGAAAAATTCAAAAAAACGCATCCGACTTGGAGCGAATTTTATATGTAAATGATAATTTTGGTAAATATTTGAATATAATTAATAAATTTGGCGGAATTTCGCTACAACCTAGAGAGAGTTAAAAAAATTCAGACTATGCTTGAAAGCCCTGTATACGTTTCTAATACTATTCTTATAGAACTCTAACAATTTTTTGCGCCTGTTTCCGTGTTGTACAAAACAAAAAAGTGGTTTTTTAATAGGCATTAAAAATGCAATATAATAGAATTAAAAACTATATTAACTATCATCAAATAACAAGAATTAAGAGTTTTAAACATTATTATGTAGTTTCCATCAGATCATCTCAAAAGGTTTTTAAATGTATATATCAAGTATAGGCGTGAAAGGTCGGAAAAAGAAGAAACTACAAAGAGACAGAACAACCAAAACGTCGACAAAGACTAGAGTGTGTTAAAATAATCAGCACTCGACCTCCTTCCACTCTTACATATTTATGTATAAAAGGTTTTGAGAGGGCCAACAGAATGAGATACAAGATAGGATATATATATATATATAATGCAGGGTGGGCGACCAAGTCCCGGACCTTTTAGGAATGGGGTACGAGTCTACCCAGGCATTTAACCCCTCGGGCCTTGGTCGGCTAACGTGTCCTGCATAAACCTTTTGGACTTGTTCACAAACCGCAAGATTTTGGACCATTTTATCTTGGGGAGTGATTGGGTGATGTCCTCTCCTTCAAAGATTTCAAATCTAGACCTAGCATACCTATCACACTGCGCGAGGTAGTGCCTTGCCGTTTCTTCTTTTATTTCGCAGAAGCGGCAAAAGGGATGTGGTAGGATACCCATTACGAAGAGGAGTCTTCTCAGTGGGCAGTGGCCCTCAGAATACCTATCAGCCTCCTAATTCCCTTCCTTGAGATAGAGAATAGCCATTTCGATTCTGCTGGTTTGGTCGCCTTAATAAACTCTTTCGATTGCCTGTGTCCGTGGGATAAATTCCACTCCCTAAGGAATTGTTTCATGCCCCAGTTATTGATACTCTCTTTCGCTGTGCTCACAGAGTGAGGTAATACCGGTTGTGGCCTGACAAACGCAGTATTAGAACCTTCTTTGGCTAGGCCATCCGCCTTTTCATTGCCATTGTGTCCTTTATGTGCTGGTATCCAAATAAGGGACACCTTATTCTTAAACCTGAAAGAGATCCTATTGATAAGATCTATAGTTTCCTCCACCAGTCGTGAGGTTGACAAATCTTTTTGTAATGCCCTAA